GCCATTTTTTTTTTTTTTTTTGGTTGCAGCCATCATTGTTGTTTGGCGGGCCGGGCTGGGGATTTGAACCCGCCACTTTAGGTGTATGTGGCTGGCGCCTTAGCCACTTGAGCCACAGACGCTGAGCCGGATTATTCTAGTTTTGAGTACTATCGAGACTTTTTAAATGTCACTTAAAAATAATTAATGGAAAATAGATATTATTCTAAAATAATTCTTTCATTTGATTATTGTATTTTGCATTTCTTTGGATTTTCACTTGAGATTCCAAACAAGGATTCCATTTGTGATACTTTTTTTTTTTTTATAAATGGTACTATGGTCTGTCACATTAACCCAGACTGTTGTCAGGTATCATTGATGATATCAGGTATCATCAACAAGGTTTAATAGGTAATACTCTTCTTTTTACTCTCATACTTTTTTAGTTTGATCTCCTAGTCAAAATGTTTTCAACAAAAGAAAATACTCAAGCCTTAAGAAATAAAACTTAATTTTTAGTTATTTTAAGCTTTAACCACTTTATTTTGGTGATATAATTTGGCTAACCATATGTTAGACCTTTCTTTTTTGTTGTAGGTAAAAAACTACCAGAATCTCAGACAGAGCAAATCCCAAAAGTATGCTATCACACTATAATACTGTTACTGTGACATGACATCTATACTATTAGTACTATACTATTACTTTATAACTATTTTATACTATTTGCTATACCATTACTTTCATACGACATCACCCACTGTCATCCAAGCTTTGATATATACTATATTACCAGTGAAGTTTAGTTATTGGAAATATAAGAGAAACTTTTCATTAGCACAGTCTTACTTATTACTTGTATCACATTATGAATAGGGACAGCATTTGGAGAGGATCATGATATCATAATATTATGATAGGATAAAGTCAAATCTTGGTTTAAGACAGTGGCCTATAAAAGAAATGTCCTTGAATTGCACAATATAATGTGTTTCTTGTGAACACATGGATCAATATGTCCACTTAAGTTTGTATATTTTTTTCTATGTGGTCAATTCTCTTTCAGTCTACTTCAAATTACCATGCAAGGAGATTTGGAGTTCGTGCAGCCATGCCAGGATTTATTGCTAAGAGACTCTGCCCACAACTTATTATAGTACCCCCAAACTTTGACAAATACCGAGCTGTAAGTAAAGAGGTAAGTTGATGTCTCACCTTACTTACAGTCTTTCATTAGTCTCCTGTCACCTGCAAAGTCAAGTCCAAATGCCTTAGCACATCAGGATTGGGTCTTAGTTTTCCCTTTTGTTTCCCCTCTCTCCACTTCTTCAGCTTTGCATTTAATACTGAGCTGCATATAGTACCCAGAATATATCATTCCATTTTCCAGTTTTTTGCCTTTGCATGTATTTTTCATTTGCTTAGAAAACTCTTTAATTTCCCTAAACTTTTAATAGAACATATAATTCAATTTAGCTATTTTTATTGATGTGAAGTAAACATTTTGTCTTTATAATTTACAGAATCAACTCACTAATGTCAACCTCTTGTCTGAATAAATTTATCAGAGTTGTTAAACAATGGCAAAATTCACTTAGTTTTGATTAGCTGTTTTCTTTGTCCCACAATCTAGTAAAGCTGCTTATGAGCATTTAATATGAAAGAGACTGATAATCAAAAAGAAAAGAGGGTAATTCATTGCTTTGGAAAGGATCTCTGAAATAGATTTTATTATTTACTAAAATTGCCAAACTCTCATTATGAAAAACTTTCATATTTTGTATTTTTGATGACAACTGGCCTGTTATGCTGGAATTTAGTTTAGTTTTATTTTTTTAATGGCTGCTAGAATGTGAAGGAATTTTATTTTTGAATTAAAATTTTAGAGTGCTATATCACATAATATAAAAGTAAAATGCAGTGTGTTAAAGACTAGCTGAATGGAAACATTAAAAATACTATGGCCTGGCTCGGCTCCTATAGCTCAACCGGCTAAGGCGCCAGCCACGTACACCTAAGGTGGCAGGTTCGAATCCCCAGCCCGGACCCGCCAAACAACAATGACGGCTGCAACCAAAAAATAGCCGGGCGTTGTGGCGGGCGCCTGTGGTCCCAGCTACTTGGGAGGCAGGAGTTGAAGGTTGCCGTGAGCTGTAATGCCACCGCACTCTACCCAAGGGGATAGCTTGAGGCTCTGTCTCAAAAAAAAAAAAAAAAAAAAAATACTATGGCCTAAAAATATTACCAGTTAGTTATGCAAGTAGTCTTTAAATTCGCTCATTTTACTTGTATTCTACTTCATTTCCCCTAGAAATGACATTCTGCCCCAAGTTTAAAAACATTTTTTTTTATTCTTTTAAAAACAATATGAAAGCAAGTACTTTGTGTCTGCCTCTGAACAAACGGTGGAGGGGGAAGCAGACTCACTTTTAGCTACTCTTTATTTCTTTTACTTAATGTCTGATTAAAAAGAGATAAAATGTTAATCATAAATATTATTAGGCTTATAACATGTTTGACAAAATCCTACAAAGAGTTGGTAAGAAAGAATTTTAAGTCATACTTTAACTCAGTAAAACTTTGACAGTATGCCAATGAGAACTGAAACAATTACTTATGTAATCTGTTTATTTATGTTAAGTTAACAAATTTGAGCAGGATCTAGCTACTTTATGCAGATAATAAGTGTTTTTAGATGTAAAGAGCTATGGCACAAATTCATCACTGACTACAGATACATTGTTATTTATGGCTTGGTTTCAAAGCTTAAAATAAAAGCCATTTTTGTTGTATCCAAAATATTGCATTAACTTTGTTCTTTGTTCTTGGAGCTCTACATGCTTGATTTTTACTGGAACGTGTCCTTTTTAGTTCTTACAGCAATATGCCAGGAAAGGAAGTTAATAAGTACTCAACAATGTCTTTAGGAAGTACTTCTCATTCAGAATCTTAGTTGCCTGCCAGCTACAGTTCTCCTAGAGTTTTATTTTCACTAGAAAGATTCTATTTGAGTACCTTATAAAAAATGATTTTTTCTATAAGATCAAAGCTAATTAAGGAACTCTGAGTAAAACTTGGCAAAGGTTTATATTACCATTTTCTAAAATTTCCCTTGACTCAGCTGTTCATAATTACATTAAGCTAAAAAGCTTTCCTTTTATAAAACAAGGAAAAGTTTTTTTCATGATATAGTAGACCGCTTTTAAATGCTAGATGGAAGCATAACATAATTCAGCAAATATGTTTTCTTTGGTTTTTTTTTTTGAGACAGAGTCTCACTATGTCGCCTTTGGTAGAGTGCTATGGCATCACAGCTCACAGCAACCTCAAACTCTTTGGGCCTAAGCCATTCTCTTGCCTCAGCCTCCTGAGTAGCTGGGACTGCAGACGCCCACCACAACACCCAGCTACTTTTTGGTTGGAGTTGTCGTTGTTTAATAGGCCCAGGCCGGGCTCGAACCCTCCAGCCTTGGTATATGTGGCTGACACCCTACTCACTAAACTCTAAGCCGAGCAAATATGTTTTCTAATATATATATTATTTTAATAACCATTTCCTCTAATTACAGCTAATACTTCAGTGAGAAAAAAGAAAACTTTATCATTTCATGTACAATTATAATTCTAATCTTCATACATACATACAGGGTGTCCATAAAGTTGGTGTCCAGTTTATAAAATAATAAACTATTTAGAGACTTAATGGACACCTTATATATAATAATTTTTTTTTGAAACAGAGTCTTGTTCTGTCCTCCCAGCTAAAGTGCAGTGGCATCATCGCAGCTCACTGCAAACTCCCAACTTGCTGGAAGTATAGTCATGCACCACCACACCTGGTTCAGTTTTTCTATTTTTGGTAGAGGTGGGGGTCTCACTGTTGGCCAATTTTATGGCTACAAGTCTTGATGAAGCTTACTCGGGCTGGTAAAACTCCTGACCTCAAGTGATCCTCCCACTCTTACCTCCCAGAGTACAAGAACTACAAGCGTGAGCCACTGTGCCCAGCTCTGTATGTATTTCTTTTATCCTAATGTTCAACTACAGATTTTCTCCCACCATTTAATATAATCATGGAATTAGACTACAAATTTTGTCATCTTTTCTATTACAGATCCTAATAAGCAATACAGCTTCATTTTCTTGTATGGATACATGCATTAATGTATGTATTGAGTGAAATTTTATGTGGGTATTATAATATGTTATAATTAATTGAAATATATCTACTTTCTAAAGCAACATAGTACCTTTATGTAAAATTATTCCTTTGTAAAATGAATAAAAACCATCATAAAAGATGAGAGAGCATAGAATCCTGTTGTTTCCACTTCATCTTTTGACCAGGTATCCAAAACCTTAACCTTAACTCTTCACTTTTTTTTCTGTGCCTACCGGAATGGTGCTAAGATTTATTTGAATTGCTTACTAAACTATAACTAGATATAGGTGGATAAATAGATTGCAGCAAGTGAAGTTATTTCGTGGTCATCTGCCCTCATGATCTATTTTAATACGAAAGAGAATTTTGACAAATATGCCTTGGTAGTAAATTATTTATTCCTCAAATCCATAAACTATGATAGTTACTATAGTCCCAAAGTAAGAATATTAATGTTTCTTATCAGCTATATGACAGATATAAGTTTTGCCAGGGGGCGATGTCTGTGGCTCAAAGGAGTAGGGCGCTGGCCCCATATACTGGAAGTAGTGAGTTCAAATCCAACCCCAGCCAAAAACTGCAAAAAAAAAAGTTCTGCCAGGGTAGTAAAATTTAAATCTTTTTTGTTCCTTTTGCAGGTTAAGGAAATACTTGCTGATTATGATCCCAATTTTATGGCCACAAGTCTTGATGAAGCTTACTTGAATATAACAAAGCACTTACAGGAAAGACAAAACTGGCCTGATGACAAAAGAAGGTATTTCATTAGAAACTCTGTAGAAAATGGTAAGCAATGCATTATGACTATCCAACTAAAAAACAAAAGCAACTCTTTGAATTAACTTAGCCTGTGTAGGTGGTAGGATTAAATGTACCTTTAGAAAAACAAAAAATCAGGGAGTGAAAACATACCAGTAAGTTTTCTGAGTTAATTGTATGTAATATAACTTATAAACCAAAGGAGTTGTGTGTTGGTTTTTTTTTTTTTTTTTTTTTTTTTTGGTTGTAGTTGTCATTGTT